CTCGACCTGATAATGAACAGGATTTTAATGTTCCTGGACCTTCTCCCGCTCGACCTGATAATGAACAGGATTTTAATGTTCCTGGACCTTCTCCCGCTCGACCTGATAATGAACAGGATTTTATTATTCCTGAACCTTCTCCCGCTCGACCTGATAATGAACAGGATTTTAATGTTCCTGAACCTTCTCCTGCTCGACCTGATAATGAACAGGATTTTAATGTTCCTGGACCTTCTCCCGCTCGACCTGATAATGAACAGGATTTTAATATTCCTGGACCTTCTCCCGCTCGACCTGATAATGAACAGGATTTTAATGTTCCTGAACCTTCTCCTTCTCGACCTGATAATGAACGGGATGTTAATATTCCTGAACCTTCTCCTACTCCTCAATTACATAATCTTCGACCACGTCGAAAAAATGTAAACTATAATGTTGGTACTTCTAGAAAACGCCGTAAGAATAATTCTGTAAGTATATTATAACCTTACTAAAATATTCTATTTAGTTTAATGCTAAGAAAGGGTATGTCAATATTTTTGTAGATACGACAAAGGTCATCGTCACCATTTCCCGCACCTTCAATTCCTTATTCTCCTCCAGGACCTGTATCACCATCTTTTAGTGAAGGTTTTTCTGATGATGCTGATTATGATGGAACTTTGAGAGAACCAATCTGTTTAAATTGTTTAATTCATTGTCCTGATTAATTATAATGTATTATTGTTGTATTTGTATTATTAAACTCCCAAATTTACATAGCTTTTTTTTACGATGTAAAATATCAATAAATTATAAAACAATAACAAATTTGCTTTTATTAATTACAAACCAAAATTTTAAATATACAGTATAATATCGTGCAATACATAATATATTCTAAATAATTATTGCGTACTTGTCGTACCGCAATTTGAGAGACGTGTATATAAACTCGGACTCCGATGATACAGACACCATCCAATTACACTGTATTTTCTCTACAAATCCACGAAATTAGACACGGAATGTAGTCCAGTCACATGAATTTGGAGATAGATACAAGCCAAGATTCTGATGCATCTTCCGAGGATCATGACATCAGCTCCACCTGGCCTGGGATTCATTATTTTGGGAGAATTAATACTACTAGAGCATAATCCGCAGTCAGTGATGGCCTTGCATAGTGGAATTTCCATAGAAGGTTACAAAATGTTTCGATTATTTGCAATAAGTGGTTTATCTGCAAAATTCTCAGTTATTTGGTGTTTGTTGTATTAAATCCAGTTGGTAAGCATTTAACATCAACAATTGCATCAAAAGCAACTAGTTTGTAAAGAGGATAGTGCCTTTTTTCGACAATATGAAATGATGTAGAAATACTGTAGTTTTTTTGGTAAAGTTGAGGGTATATATAGGTATCTTTTTGATTTAAAAAGTTCTCTTTTAATAATTGTATTTTATAAAAAAAAAAAATTTTTTTTATTTATTCTATTTAATTAATCCTTACACTATCATGTGTATTTGTATTTGCTCTTATTTTATGCTATGCAGATTTTTAACAATATAATCATTAAAATTTATATGATTTAATAAATTTTGCAGAGTTTTCATTAATTTTAAATACTTAATTTGTTTAGTTGACAAGGCACTTTCTTATATAGTTAAGGCTTCTTTTTGTTTCATTTTAATACAAATGTCTAAAGGTAAAATATTATTTTAATATATTCATCAAATTATTCAGAATGAAATAACAAGGAATTATATTATCCAGTAAGTTTATTAATGTTTTATATTCTATATCTTTATAAATTTCTGCAAAATAATTTTTGATATTTGTTTTATATTTCACTTGTCAATTTTAATATTAAATTTATTTATCATGGTTTAGGTTTTTTTTTTTGCAAAAGTTTTTTTTTGAACCAAATACAAAATGGAAAAGATTTTAAAAGAAGTCATAATATAATAGCTTTTCTATGAAATTTAAAGATATATTAAGTGGTTCAAGAATTGAGACAAAGTTATGTACATATAAAGGAATAACAGATTAATTGCCTTGTAAATAAAGCTATATATATAAATATATAAGCTAATCTGTAATAATTAGTATAATATACTATATAATTAAAAAATGTTTTTTTAATAAAGAAATATTAGTAATAATTTGAATAACTTTGAAGTAATCTACTAATAAATGTAAATTTATATTTTAAAAAGATATCATATGATTTTTTTCATAGATCTTTCTTCTTTTCTTTTTGAATTGTATTATTATATGATTAATATAATTAAATTGATTTTTATTTAATGATTTTTATATAATTCACTGATTTTTTATAATATCTTTTATATCAAAAATTTCATTATAATATGTTTTTAAATACTAATAAAGATCATTAATATCAATATTTTTTGGAGTTTGGATTATAAATAGTTAGAATTAATATATAATTATCAATTAATTTCAAAAGACAAGATGCAAAATATTTATCATTAATGATAATTAAAATAACAGGTTAATGCATAGAATAAATAGTATGATAATCATTAATGTTAAATATCAAATATATAAAAATTATTATTATATATTATATAAAATTAGTATTAATTTTCAAAGTTACTTTTTTTTTATATTAAAAAATTATAATTTATTAATAAAATTAAATAAAATTACATGATATTTAAATAAAATAAATATATATTTTATTTCATTTCAGAATTTTTTTTGAATAACTTATATAATTTATAAAATATTTATTAATTTTGTTAAAATGATTTATTAATATTTTTTGTTTATATTTATTAACTGTTTTAATATATACATTAGACCTATTAATAATAAAGTTTTAATATTTTCTCTTGATGCTTTTAAAAAAAGTTTAATTTTAAGTTTTAAATTATTAACAAATTTATTATCCAATCTGGCAAAAAAGTAATAAAATACAACAATAGTCTTTCTTTTTATTATCAAATGTTTTTTTAATCTTCTTTTAGGATTTGATACACCTAAAATCCTTATAAACATAATTTTTAAATTTGAATTATAGATTTAATTATAAAAAAAAATTTTGCTTTCTTTGCATATAATAGAAAAATTTATTAACAATTTTAATTATTCTTTAAAGTTAATATTTATAAAATTAATTAAATTAATACATCTGAAAATATTATTATGATATATAAAAAAATTATAATTTATAAAAATATAATATATTATAATTATATTTATTATTTTAATTATTATTTATCTAAACAAAATTAGTATTTATATTTGAATTAGAAATTGGTTACAATTTGGTAAATATGTCATTTTTTAAAAGTTTGCATTACTTTAGAGCTTTACTAAAATTAAAGTAATATTTAACAAATAATCATATGAAACTCTCTTATGTTAATCTTATCCAATCTAATTCCAAATTTTATTAGACTTATATCTAGTTTTATTTAAAGTAGTATTATATAATTATTTAAAAAAACTATAAAAATTATAATTTATATTACAGATTTATAACTTTCATCAAGAATATTTTAAGAAAGATCATATGCTTCATCTATATTGAGAGATGTTAGGACAATATTGTCTAAACTTTAAGTTTATTTAATAAAATTTTATAAAAAAAACTTTATATTGCAAATACAAATTTTTATTATTATTTTTTATTTTATTATTATTATTATTATTATTATTATTATTATTATTATTATTATTATTAATATATATAATTATAAATATATAATTTGTATAATAAAAGTATACAAAAATAATATATTTAAAAAATATAAAATATATGTAGAAAAATAATATAATAAATTCATAAATATTTCTGTATATTAAATACTGAAAATTATCTTTTTCTATATGCAAAAAAAATACCGAATTTATATATCTATTCAGTATATTACAAATGTAATTGTATATGTAATTTTGGTTAGATTCAGTAATAGGATGAATCAATGAGCCATCTGTATAAAAAGATAGAGAAGTAGAGAAGGAAAGAGAAATTGCTATCTTAGAAAGAAGATCAATATATTGAGATATGTTAATGAGTTGCGATATTAATGATAATGTAATTCTACTTTGCTAAGATAAAAGTGTGATCAAAAATGCTTTTTTTTTTTTGCACAAAATGCAAGTTCAAATGAGAACAAATAAGAAGAGTTTTCAACGTAACTTTCTGATATTGTTTTTTTCCTATTATATCTATTTTAACAATGTTTTGAAGTAGGAAGTAAGACTTTAGTGATACATTTTTTTGTATCATTTAAAGAACAACTAAAGCATTTAACAAGGCTTTCAAGTCCTATATTATTTGTAATTAAGTTAAAGTGGCAAATATCAGCTGTTTCTATATGAGAATGCTTTTGAGTAACTTGTTCATAAATATTAGTATTAGTGTGCAGATTCCAGAAGGTGATATATTCTCTTCTAGTGTTGATTATAACAAGAAAATATGACTCAGTAAATGATCAACATGTTTCACAAAATTGATCAACTAGAAGATTTACAAAAACGATCTACAGAATTGATCTACTGGATGATCTGCAAATGATTTACACATGTAACGTTAGAAATGTTAAACAAATGTTACATAATTTATATATTTGATATATCTGACATATCTGACATATCTAATATAACTGACATTTCTGACATGTCTGACATATATAATATATCTGACATGTTCGACAAATAGGACATATTAGATAAGTCAGACATAATAGATATATTTGATTTATTAGACATGTATAATATATTAGTTTATCTTTCTATGTAAATTATTTTATATAAATAGGATGGTTTGTAAATGTTGGAATGGTAAGGAGTTAGATTTCTTCTAGCTTGGTGCTAATATTCTTCTTATATATTTTATTCTTTTCTTTTATTTTTAGAGAATTTTATTCAGAGTTATATAATAATTCTTTAATCTTTATTTATTTATTTTATTATCAATAAACTATTTTATTATTTACATCTGCATGATCTATAAATGATAGCATGATATTTAAATATTTGAGTGAAATCTACAAGTCTGCGTGATGCATAAGTCTTAGCAATAAGCTGCAATCTGAGTATAAGTAATTCATAAGTCTTAGTAATAAGCTGTAATCTGAGTATAAACCTACAAGATAATCAGGTTTTTCGTATTCAATCTGTGTAAAGACAATCAGGTCTTTTGTGTTTAATCTGTATAAAGACAATTGGGTCTTTGTGATAGCTTAATATTTTAGTGAAATATCAAATCAATATGTCTAAATGACACCAGTTATAAGTCCAGGACTTAGAAATAAATCAGTAGATTACTACGTACATTAAAAAGAAATAACACTCTAACACCCCATCTAATAGTTGTAGTTCGCAAGAATTACACATTAACAGTATCAAAGAAATTTATATTTAGATCATAAAGTGAACTAAAAGAATAATTATCAGCTAATCTATATTCTAATTTAAGAGATTTATCTAAAGGATTTTGAACAATAAGATTAAATATTAGTCTATATAGGAAAGAAGATTCTAATCTAGCAGATTTAGATAATGATATAGGAAGATAATGTCTAACATTTTTCCAATTAAGGAGATGATAACTATTAAGAGAAATTAATTGGTCTAAATAATATAATTGTAATCTTTTGATAATATTGAAATTTTGTTTGAAAATAACAAAGGAAAAAAATGATAAAGAGAGTGTTTTCCTCCAATAATATGGTTATTCAAAAAATCTTTAACAAC